TTCCCTGCGATGGACTGAACACAGTTTGCCTATTGTTTAGCTTTGCGCTAAAACAACATTGGTTTATTTTCTAAATTTATGAAAACTAACGTGGCCAGTTAATTAAGGAATTATAAATATGTATTTTTGTATGTTAGAGATGGACAGTTTGTGACTCACTTTTCGCTTAAAATTCAAGTAGAAATAATTAACAAACTTATTATAAATATATAAAAACAAAAATTAAACAATGTAAATAAAATATTTAACAATAATTCCTACGCACTCTATTAATGTACTATAAACTAGATCCAGCTGGAGTTGTGCGCAGTTACGAGACAGTAAAAAATATTGTAAGCGAATGACGAACACGTAATTGATTTGTGTTATATGGGAATAAAATATTTATTTTAATACTGTAGTGTAAAACAAGTAGACCTCTAATTATTTGTGATGTTCGTTAACCTACCTATTGGTAGGCATTATTGTGAATTAAAGAAAAACATATTTATAAAGCAGATTTCGTGTTAAGGTTACTCGTGCTACCATTGATACGACAACAAGAAGGCCATCAGTTTGTTTGTTTGTTAATTTTTGCGCAAAACTATTCGGGAGATTTACATCGCTAGAATCCGCGTTTCAACACACATGGTGGGCAGAGCACAGATGGCCCATAGTGTAGCTTTGTGCTTAACTTCAAACAAACAAATTCGGGAGATACCTGCGCTAGTCATCCCTAGTTTTGAAATGATAGGCTAGATGGAATGTAGCTAGTCGTCCCTAGTTTTGAAATGATAGGCTAGATGGGATGTAGCTAGTCGTCCCTAGTTTTGAAATGATAGGCTAGATGGAATGTAGCTAGTCGTCCCTAGTTTTGAAATGATAGGCTAGATGGAATGTAGCTAGTCGTCCCTAGTTTTGAAATGATAGGCTAGATGGAATGTAGTTAGTCTATATCTCCCACTTCCAACCCTTGACCTACTCTAATCAACTAGTGAGATTTGACTATCGCTCTTATAAACTCATCCAGGCTCCAAAGTGCAGAGCGCGATTTTTCTTTTCGGTAACGAGGCTTGAACTAGAGAACCTCAGATCCACAGACCAGCATCCTAACTATTAAGCTTTGCTAAGTCCTGATCCATCAGAATAAGATTTTAATGTTTGAGACAGAGAAAAAGGATTGGAATCCATTAAAATCTTACTTTTTTTTTTTACTAATTCTTATTCAGCACTAATTGTCAAATATCGGTTTTCCTACGGTCTTGATCATATCAATGTTCATTACGTATTGGCATTACTATTTTATTGTTCGTCTGAACGATATCTTATGCACACAGTGAGTTACACGTCCATGTCAGAGATCCCCTCCCTGCATGGTATAAGCAGTCCCATGTGCTAACCACTATATTATTAATATGCCTATAAGCATATTGAATCGCAATACAAGCTCCAACTTCTTGACGGCTTACGCGTGCGTAATACAGGAAACATCGTGGTTTTGTTATGGCAAAACGTGGGAGATATGTTTTCATAGACAGTCGTCTACAGTAAACGTGATTTAAGCCAAATTTCGCCTATTTGTATATACAGTTTAAGTATGGAGATTTCCAGATTTTGTTTTTTAGTGCCTATATATAGTAGTTGGATCATGAAGATACCAACTGAAACATGGCTGTCTGTATCTGTACGTAGTGGTGGGATCGTGAAGATACTAACTGTAACATGGCTGTTTGTATTTGTACATAGTGGTGGGATCATGATGACACTAACTGAAACATGGCTGTCTGTATTTGTACATAGTGGTGGGATCATGATGACACTAACTGAAACATGGCTGTCTGTATTTGTACATAGTGGTGGGATCATGATGACACTAACTGAAACATGGCTGTCTGTATTTCTACATAGTGGTGGGATCATAAAGATATGTGCAAGTATTAACTGAAACATGGCTGTCTGTATTTGCACATATACACTTTCTTAAGTGTAAAAGATAAAAAATCCGACGTTTTTTGGCATAATGAAAGGTAAAATTCCCTATTATGTAGTTATAGCTCCCTACCCTCCCATCATCAGGGCTAATATCTACAAAATTGGCTGTAACTAACAATAAAGATGTTACCTTTCGTTGTGCCAAAAAAACGTCGGTTTTTGTGTGTTTTTTATATTCATAATAAAGTAGCACAATGTGCCTGAAAAGAAATTATAAACACTTTTGTTATATGAAACACGGATCCGTGTTTTTATACTTTTATTGATTGAAACATGGCTGTCTTTATTTGTTTTGTTTTGTTTTCTTTACTATATAGACAAAAATAGGTTTAAAAAAGGATTTACAGATCGAGGAGTTGAAGTTTTTAAACAATATTAAACAAATATTTATGGGGTTTTGAATCCGGTTTATTTCACCATATAAAATATTTAAAATATACACAGTATTAAACAAATATTTATGGGGTTTTGAATCCGGTTTATTTCACCGTATAAAATATTTAAAATATACACAATATTAAACAAATGTTTATGGAGTTTTGAATCCGTTTTACTTCACCGTATAAAATCTTTAACACATATATACAATATTAAACAAATGTTTATGGAGTTTTGAGTCCGTTTTATTTCACCGTATAAAATATTTAAGATATATATATATTACAATATACAATATTAAACAAAGAAAAGGTATCCACAACCGAACAAGCTTCTATAGTGATATTAAGATGTGATAGGTTCTAAGCTAGTCTATTCCAAATCTTTGAGAAATCAGTTTCGGTTGTCTTGTATTTCTGTTTTGTCTCTTATTTATATAGTAAAAAATCTATCCTGCACGTTTGCTGCCATCATATATGGAAATGCATACCAAAATGGACAATAGAAAAGATTTTGTGAAACAAAGAAGTAAAAAATAATATTTTCTCTTGAAATTATAAAACCAAATATTACGCTACGTTGCTAGTTTTAAGATTTCATTCCTTTCCAGAATAAAACTTGTTGAAAATTGTGAAACAAACTTACTTGATAATATTATCTTGTTTTCTTCAAGGACAATGAAAGTTGCTTTAGATGTATGATACATGAAGAAGGCAGAATTTAGCAACAACAACAACAACAACAAAACACCTTAAGTTTCGATCAAATTCCACTTTTGACGAAAATGATAGCGATCATTTTTAAAATACGATGAAAACGTTGGAAAGTTGCCACACTTTTGTTAATGTCGTTTTTGAATAGAAAATTACAACATGCCAGAAGTAGAAGCGTGAAGTTATTTCTGTTGTGTTTTTTGGTGTGAAAAAAAAAACATTTTTTACGACCGCAATATCGATTAAACCAATATAACGAATAGTTTTTGAGCTTTTAAAGAAAAATAAAGAACATATGTTGTGGATTTTGTATTTTGCTCCCAACACACCTCTCTGAGAGGATAGGGGCTGAGTTCGATAAACCCACACTTTCAGAATTATTCATGAGATTGTGCACTTGAGTCCTTAGGTGTAATGCTTTTATTATGTAAAATTAGTGCAACTGTGACGCATCGAAAATTAGAATAATTACCCGATATACCCGGAACATGTGACAAAACTTAGAATAATTACCTGATATGCCCGGAACATGTGACAAAACTTAGAATAATTACCTGATATGCCCGGAACATGTGACAAAACGTAGAATAATTATCTGACATGCCCGGAACATGTGACACATCGAAAACTTAGAATAATTACCTGATATACCCGGAACATGTGACACATTGAAAATATAGAATATATATTGACAAATAAGCCAAACTGTTTTTGAAAATATGGTGCTATTTTTTAAAACACGACACTAACGTTCGAACAGCGTCAAAATATATACTTTCCACTTAGTTACTTAGAAAAAATAAATAAAAGATCATGGCTCGACCTTCACATGACTATAGCGTAGGTTGGCATTTGTTTTTACAGAAAAATTGGCATTGGTCTCTATACTCCTTGAGAAAGGAGTGGTAGACAAAGTAGATCAGTTGTATGAAAATGTTTTTATGGTATAAGTATATTTATTTTTCACATGAACAAAGGTAAAATTACAAAAGATGCAAATAGACAAAACAATTTCCTCCGCATTTTCCAAACAAAAATAAACATCAACAATTAATGTTTAATGAGAAACCTAACGAAATGAACAATTCATTCAAAATTACAACAACATCAACTTTTACAGTAGGTAAGTCCTGGTTTTAATGATTACAACATTTCAAAACCACAGTACCGGCTCATCATCGGGTAACAGTTAAATTCAAAGTTATTGTAATCATTAAAATCGGAACTTTCCTACTGTAAAAGTTGCTGTGATTGTATTTTTGAATTAATTAAATGTTAATAGTATTTAACAAATCTAGATGGCGTTTTTGTAATTTTTTGTTCTTTCCTCTCTGTTTCGATTATTAACAAATAACAGCTAATTTATAATGTTAACGACGTTGTTTCTAGCGCAAAGCTTCATAGTGGGCTATCTGCTCTCTGTCCATCATGGAGAATCAAATCCCTGATTTTAGTGTTGTAAGTCTTTACCCGTGACACAGTGGTATATCTGCCGAATTACAGCGCTAGAAACCGGGTTTCGATACTCGTGGTGGGCATAACACATATAGACCATTGTGGAGCTTTGCGCTTAGTTACAAACAAGAAAACAAAACCATACCGTTGACCCACTTGGGAGACAATTATAACAAATTTGCCATTTTTACTGTTAAGTTTTAAAACTATTGTTGTCTTTATCGGTAATGATTAATCGATTGCACTGTATTGGAAGTTCATCCCTTTTATATTATCCATTGTTGTCCGTAACGCCTTTTTTTTTAGCATTATTGCCCTTTAAAATCTTTACACTTTTTACGTCATTGTTGTTGTTTTTTCATTCATCTTCCATTACATAAAAACAAGTAGTTTTTGACATAGCCTATTGTTATACTTCATGATTTTACCTTTTGTTTTATATTAGTATGACTGATGCGTTTATTTTCTTATTTACTCTTCCAGCTCTGGAAATCTAAGCTGAAACCACCAATCCACCTGTTGTTCCAATCCAACTAGGTTTCGCCAAATATTTTTTTTTAGTTCCAAAAACAGTAACTTTTAACTTGACGTCCTTTGGGGGAGTTGTCCACGTACGTTTGATATTGACTTGTTGCTTGAATACCCGACAAAATAACGAAAGTTTCGTAGTTTCCGGGATCAGCTACTAAGAGTTAAGTTGGTCTGTTCTAGAGAAACAAGACAACCAGGTTAGTAATTAAAATTATCAGTTTTGTAATAAACGTGCTTTGGGCTTGATATGCTACAGAACTGAGGGTATACATATATATTATACATTCTCAGATGTTCATACACAGCTCAGAAAGAAAATTTTATGTTAAAAACACATATAGAAACATATCATTGAGACTCTTAAAATAATAATATACATCACTTCAATCCCGACATGTGTAAACGCTGTGATTTTAAAGCGTATTAACTAATCATTAGATAGACAGATTGATAAAAAATATTTGATTTTTATCTATCTAATGACGTGGATATTTATGTACAAGTATCTTCCTGTCACCAGTTTTTCTTTGAGTCTCTTAATCCTATATACCTTAACATTAACACGCGAGAAACTAATTAGTAAAGGACCACCACAATGTAAGTAAGACACACGCACATATTCTTACAAAATATCAAATTTCTTCTAAGAACCATTAACGCAGTTATCTTTAACACAAAAGTTTCTTCGTTTTTTTTTTTTTAGTGCTTCTGTCGCAATATCTAATTAATTAATTATAATGGGCTTGAGGACTAGAATGAAATGAATGAACATATCATGAGCGGAAGCTATGGCGGCTATACTGGTGCTACGATATTACGCTGCTGAGTGATCAAGAAACGTGCTGTAAGTGTTCCACGATTCTTTAATATTCATCAATCTATTACATGCAAGAATTGTTAACTGTATATCGGATATCAAAGTCATGCCTTTCATTCCCTGAAACGAATCATAAAGCACGGAACTGGCCTAATGGCAATTAACATGCTCGAAGTATAGAAGTGATATGTGAGAAATCAGTGACGTGAGAGATATGCTGATATTAATTTGTTATAATACGATTTTTTTATATATATATGTATACCTCTGTGTCGGACTAACCTAATATACAGCCGAATAATTTTATAGTTACGACAAAATGTGGCAGTTATGTTGTTTATTGATTATCATATGGGCTTTGTTGCCCGAGAACTTTTAAGTTTAATTGGATCCAACAGACTACTGTGCATAACCCTGCACTCGTTTTGTCGTACTTTTTGAGTGAGTCATACAGCTCGAGCTGCCAATTGAATCTACCATGAACAACTCCCACTCTTTTCGTCACAGTTTTTAGGTCTCTCCTTTAATTTATATGTTCTTGTGGTTTGCGAATAAAGAGAGCACTACATTTCTCACATAACTTACGTATTCCGTTGTTAGTGACTCACTTCGTCGTGCATCTCCCACTAGCCACCTGGATCATTCTTTTGTTAATAATATGTGATCATACGAAGCCTTATTCGTAACTTGGTCTGGTAGTGTAAAAGCCACTAATGTTTTTATAGGGTGTCCCTTTAAACGTTATACATGATATATTAATTACGCTTCAAGTTATGCCCCACTTCAAGTTGGGATACTTATTGCTGTATACAGATAGAGATGTTGTTGTTGTTTATTATTATTAATATTCACCCACTCCTATATCTACCTCCTTGAACTACATTTTAGCATAACTAAGATGTTTATATTTCTACCATAACTCTCCTTGTTTGTTCGAAAATTTTCGCGCCAAATTTCGTCCCCAATGTTTAACAGATATACTAAGAAGATGTAACTAGTGAAGAGCATCTATTGCCAACTCTTGAGCTATTCTTGTTTGTCTTGAATTTGATCATCCGGGCAGCCCCCTAGTGTATGTCTGCGGACTTACAACGCTAGAAATCGGGTTTCGATACCCGTGGTGGGTAGAGCACAGATAGCCCATTGTGTAGCTTTGTGCTTAACCTCAAACAAAAAAATCATCCGGGCACGCCGACCTCCAGTCAAGTCCGACTCCAATCATAACCAATATTTTAATTTAGCAGTTCTTATTTACAGTTAGCCTTGAAATTAAGGTATATATTAATTACTTAAAAATCATCCGGGCACGCCGACCTCCAGTCAAGTCCGACTCCAATCATAACCAATATTTTAATTTAGCTGTTCTTATTTACAGTTAGCCTTGAAATTAAGGTATATATTAATTACTTACGTTTTTTCCATTATCAACTTCGAGTTTATTTACAAAATATCTGTCAATATAATATTGTTTGTTTGTTATCAAGCTCAAAACTTCACACCCAACTATCAGTGCTGTGCCCACCACGAGTATCGAAATCCGGTTTTTAGCATTATAAGCCATCAGTTATAGGCTGGGCCACTAGGGGGAGGGGCTTGATATAATTTATTTTTGATTTTTAAATATCCAATCAGCTTTGTATTAAATGATTATCAACTAATTGTTCACTTATCATAAATGATAGAAAGGTACAAAATATTTGTCAAGGAAATTTATGGATTGCAATAGGTAGAAACTATGTATAATCCCTTATTTGTTACCCCCCACGGTGCTGAGTGGTAAACTTCAGGGTTTATAACCTAAAGCCAGGGTTCAAAAATTTTTTTGGCGCTGCCGTGTAGCATAGTTAATCATTAAATAATCTCTTCTATCAAGTACGGTATATATTATAGGAATGCTAGAAAGTATTTTTGTGAGGCTAGTGCTGTTTCTAAATCTCTACCTAAAATTCACAACGAAACATACAGACTTTCTAGTTTATGATACCCGAAATTATATCTTAAACACAATGAATGAATTGGGCATTAAACAAAGGTTTCAGATGATTTTTTTTCTGAATTATTTTTAAAGGTAGTTTTCAAAATCAGTCTCCTTGTAGATAGGTAAATACGTTTTGTTTGTTTTTAAACGCAAAGCTATGCAATGAGTTATCTGCACTGTACCCATCGCGAGTATCGAATCCCGAGCCATTGAGGGGAGTAACAGTTACAAAAATAAACTGGACAGATAGATAGGTGTTACAGTCGATCCTTATCTAAGTTTATTTTCTCCAATGTAAGAATGCTTTCAAATATTTTCGTTGATTCTTCTATTTTCTATAATGATTCTCTCGATCTTTATCATAGTTTATTTATTACCTACACTCATCATGACAAAAGTTTCCGAATTTGTAGCCATAAAGGTAGATCTCAACTGTCTTAATACGGTGGGGCCCGTCATGACCAGGTGGTTAGGGCGCTCGACTCGCAATCTGCGGGTCGCGGGTTTGAATCCCCGTCCCACCAAACATGCTTGCCCTTTCAGCCGTGGGGGCGTTATAATGTGACGGTCAGTCCCACTATTCGTTGGTAAAAGAGTAGCCCAAGAGTTGGCGGTGGGTGGTGATAACTAGCTGCCTTCTCTCTAGTTCTTACACTGCTAAATCAGGGACGGCTAGCATAGATAGCCCTCGTGTAGCTTAGCGCGAAATTCATAACTAACTAACTTAATATGGTGTTTCACTACCTGGTTAGATGCTAATGTTCTTACAAGCACGCTCTCAACTAGATTTCGAAAGGTTTCTCGTGGAATATGTGTCCATTATTTTTTCAAAGGATTGGCCAGCTAACTCAGATTAGGAAGATGAAGTCCAAGTTTTCTAAATAACATCTGTGTTTGTTTGTGTTACCTCACCTACATTCTATAGATTTACAACTGGGTTCTGTGAGAGGCATTCGAATATAATGATATTGTTACTTTTAAATCGGGCATTGGTCATTATTCTGCTGGAGCAGCATATGGAACGTGTTTATTTAAGTTCTTGTGTGTCCTTGGGTAGAATCCACTCAGTACAGTCGAAAGGTTTGACGCCTGCCTCTAGAACTCGTTCGACCATCACTTCGAAACTGGATCAAGCCGCTCTTATCACTCCATATCGGTATTCACGTTCGTGAAAAACACGCTACTCCAAAAAATATCTGTTTACGCGTGGCCACAATGGATGTACTAAAGCCACTGTATGGTTGTTTCAAAACTTATTTCTAGGTGCACCAGAGCTACTGTGAATTTGTTTTAAAACTGATTTGTGGGTGCACGAGAGCCACTTTGCATTTTTTCAATACTTGTTTCAAAGCTAATTTCTGGGTGCACTAGAGCCATTGTGCATTTGTTTCAAAATTGATTTCTGGATATATTTCTCAATCCTGACAAGTGAGCGATTGTCACAGTGCATTAAGCTGACAGGAACATTTTTCAGAAGTTGAACTATTAAGTTTACGATATTTTTTTATGGTATTGTACACCGTGAGTCACGCGTGACCAGTATATCGTACATCGATTGTCAATACTTCCATCATCACATAATTCGAGATGTTTTGGTATTTTGCTGACCCTACAAAACTACCCACGTGCTTTCAGAGAAAACAGGTCAGTGTTTAAGGGGTGTCCAAATAGTTTTGGGTTGCTTTCATTCTGTGTTGATATTATATATGTTAGTACTTGTGAGAAGTCTTCATTATTATATGTATTTTACTTGGGTATAAGAAAGTACTTTTTCCAGACGCTTCTATTTGTATAAGATTATTAGACTTCCATTCACTACAATTTACGTTAAGCTCGTGGAACAGAGAGTGCATGAAATAAGACAAAAAAAGAAGATGAGATTAGCTAGAGAAGTACCAAAGATATGACTGATGGCGAAGAATGAGTAAGACACAGAAAAGATGGAGAACAATGATAATGAAAAGAGAAAGGGGTGGAGGGTTAAGATGCAGGGGAGGAAAGAAAATATACAAAAATTAAGGATGTTCAAGACAGAGCTGACATAGAAACTTAATAAATGCGAATGATCAATTAACCGTGCCAAGTATCAAGTCACAAGCCTTAGTTTTTACATACATGAACAAAATGAACAAAACTCCATATAAATTAAAGATTAAAGTTATTCAACTTTAATACCTTCAATTTTCCAAACTACACGTACTTTAGCTTCGTACGATATTAAAACTTGTAACTGACCAAAAACTGGACAACTGACAACATGAAGCACCAGGTAGAGACAATATCTAATTATCTGTGTTGGAGACAATTATCATCGATCGAGCTGCAGTCTGAGAATTTTAATGTTAATCGGACCAAAAGGCATCCTGTTACTTCTCCACTTATCTCTCTCTATAACAATACGC